GGACTTTCGAACATCTTTTGTTTTTAAGGCTCATTTTGTGTGAATTTTTTATTTGTTTATTATCGTTTGAACCAGACGAGGAATCCGTGTCCCCACTATAGAGGATACGCTGCAGATTTCACTATCAGAAGTCTGCACTTGGACAGTCTTGCTGGCTGCGAACCAAAAGAAATAAGAGGAGAAAAATGCACCGTGTGTGTGCGAGTGTGTGTGTTTGAATCGACCCTTTATGTCGAGCCCAACAGTGCTGCTGTTCCAATATTTCTTTCTGTCTTAACCAAAGAAATCGACTGCTTGTATGTGATTTTCAGCTCGCAATCTTCCTTTGCCTCATCTGTCAGTCTGGATTTCTTCTCCCTACATCATACCTGTATTACAGGAACTGAGGCATCTGCAGCTCTCTCACCATGACTGGGCCCTATACCACAGGGATATCTAAACACCAACGGCACAAAGGGGATGTTCTGCCACAGTTTCTTAGTACACTAAGCACACACGTGCGCAACCACACACACACGTAGACACCCCCACTTGCCATTTTCCCAAGACAAAAGAAAAAGAGGCAGCTAATATATTTGCAGCTTTGCGAGAGGGGGAGGCGGGTGTGAGGGAAGAATCTGCTGCTAGGCTGGGCTTGGCAGGCTGTGTGTGTGTGTGTGTGCGCTGTTTATCGTGAGTGGAGACAGGGGTATCACTCAGTGAGACAGAATGCTCTGGGTTCCCCCAGCGGACGATCGCGCTATCGCTGCACCACAACACTACAACAGCGCGCAGCAGCACTGTGCAGCTTTGCACTGCACCCCCACACAACAGCACGGTGCAGGAGGGAAGAGCAACAAACTTTGAGAGCAGGGCGACACTCTTACATTTCTACTTTTAAAACAACAGACCTAAACTTCTCTTTTATTCCAGCTCTACCCTAATTTCTTTAGAAGTAATCGTAGCTATATATGGCTGAGCAAAACACCGGGGGCTGAGAGGTTTGATGTGGAACAGATCACAATGTGTGGGCCTGACTGTCACACACACACACACCTGTGCACCTTCTTCTTCTGGGCGGTTGCTAAAAAGGAGGGTGGGGCTTTCAGGATCACAGCAAGGAAAGAAAAATGCAGGTTACATGCTAAACTCAGCGTCGGCCACATGTTTCGTTTCGAGCGTGAACTTCATGAGTAATATTCACGTTCTCATATTCTTGCACACAGACGGAGGCAGACAAGCACAAGTGTTGTAGAGAAATGTGGATGAAGGCAGAAGGAATGAGGGTGGAGGAGACAAGGAAGGAGTCAGAGGGACAAAGTGAATGTCAGAAGGAAGGAAGAGGTGGAGGAGGATGGATGCAACAGCACAGGGAGGCGAGGAAAGAAAGGAGGGAATGAGAAGCAGCTTGCAGTTCATGGCCCTCTCCCTATGAGCGAAGACTCCTCCCTGGGGGTAGGATGGGGGGGGGCTCAGGACTTTAAGCCCCTGCCCTGCTTTATATTCCCCTGGCTACTGCAGCCAGATCAATGCTGCTAGCTACCCGTCTCAGTCAGCCTGGCTCAGCAGGCCCTAGAGCCTTCTAGACAGAGAGCAGCTTTAGGAGGAGCGGAGCCTGGTGGCAGGCAAATTTGTAAATGTAACACAGATATACTTCTATTAGAATCAGACCCTAAAGCATTAAATCTCAGGGCTTTCTTTGTGTGCGTGTGTTAGCCCATTACTGCAATTCAGACACACTTTACATTACTGTCAGCTGTTTTCAAAGCATGCTGGACCGTTTTAGTCGTTCACTGTATAAATTCACCACAGCCAACGTCTGCTATTTTTTTATTCTCTTGGTCAAAGTTAATTTATTGTTTCCTGGTAATGCAATTAGAAGTGCAGACTGATTTGAAAAGTCTGCGCTGTATTACTAAAGAAAAACAAAATAACTCAGAAATAATGCGGACAAGATGTTCGCTGTGAGCGATTACCTCACCAGAGGCCTTTACAGTAAGAGTTTAACCACATGGACGTCGATTAAAGCTGGGAGGACGTGCTCGAAGACGCTTCGCATCTGTGCGTCGCTATGACGACACAGCTGCAGGAGTGCGAAACACGCTCGGTGCGTCACAGACGGTCAGCGCGAGTCATCGAAGCAGTCGTGAGCAGTGTTGGTCAAGTAATCAAGTAACTAATTACTGATTACTTCCCCAAAAAAGTAATCAAGTAACTAATTACTGATTACTTCCCCAAAAAAGTAATC